ATTATCTCACCCCGGGGATACAATGCATACCACTGCAAAGGCTCCTGTCCGTTCCCCTGGGGGGAAACCTGAGAGCGACCAACCACGCCACGGTGCGCTCCATCATGCATGCATGCTCAAGCTCTCTAGTGATGAGTGGGAGCGCCCTGCTGTGTCCCCGACCGACTCCAGTCCATTAGTTATTATTATTTGATGATGAGGAGAACGTGGTTTTGAAGCAGTATGACGACATGGGGCATTAAGCTGTGGTTGTCACTGACTGGCTGCGCATCTCCTTCACTCACTGGGACAATAATGGATGGGAGATGATGGTTAGCTTGAGTTCATTAAAACACTGTATTTTGTGCATATGTTTAAATATTGTATTATTTGAGAAATAAAACTATTCCTCACCTATTAATCAGTGGTCCTGGGATTCCAAAACCTTTTATGAAAGGATGGCCTAATAGATTTACAATAGAACTGAAAAGGAGAGTTGAAAACATACTGTTTTAATAATCCTTAGTTGAGATTAGTCTTTGTTCTTGATTTGTAATGCACTAGTTACTGCTGGGTGGTAGTGGGAGTTACTTAAGTTCAAACTGAAGTTGAACTATAACTTATTTTACTGGGGGCCTCATGGACCCAGCTTGAGGTCTTCCAAAGGACCCTGGACCTTGATTTGGTGACGCACTTCTGTCACGTCTTCTGACTACTTTTTGAACTAACTAGGATGTCAGTACTTGTATGTGATTACATCTGAGCATCATGTTCAGACTGTTGTTTAGACCTCCCAAACAGGGATATGGATTGGGTGATTCAGTCCCACATTCAATTCTGAATGTGTTTTTTCAAAGTCAAAAGGTGCTGAAAGACAAAATTAAAAAGACATGAAATGAATTGAAATGTAAATAGTCATAGTAAAAATTTCACAGCATAGGTTAGAAACAGTAATAAATGTTGGTAGGATAAGTAGCTAGATGCTGAATTAGAATCAGGCCCTTGGGAACCTATCTAATTCATTTTAGTAACATTTTAGTAAGGAAATTGAAAGTTTCAATTAACACGGATTCTGCATTTTGTCTTCAAGTTCTTATTTTTATATTTGTGCCGAATAGTAAATAAAAGCAACACACAGCCTGTTTACTTTTACTGAACTTGTTCTCTCCTGTCACTACAGTAACTAACCAACAGATGGCGAAATAGAGCTCTACTGGATCAGATATCAGAAGAACTGACTCAAACTATGCAAAATGGACCCAGCTTGAGATCCGGTTTGAGCCAGTTCCAAATTAAAAACATCTTTGTAGAATAATTGTTCACACATAAACTGATTTGTAACCAGGAGTTAATTACCCTGTTGTAATAACATTGTGAACATGTGGAGTTTCATTGCTTGCTGAGAGCATTATACAATGAAAGTCACTGTTATCTGTAGTTGAATGATAATTGAATCACCAATCATAACAGTTTTAAACATTTTTTAAAAACAGGTTTAGTTTACTTTAGAATATAATTAGTTTAGACATATGCCTCAGATGCTAAATGGCAGTGCAGTGAAATGAAAAACACTAGTACAATAAAAGTCTGTAACAACAGTTGTTTTTTATTGGAATGGATCACAGACACAATACAGCCCTGCTTTATTCTAGTCAGGAAAAAGTCCAATGCAACAAACTTGCAGAATTATTTCTCCTTCATGTCCTCTGCATATTAAAAACATTAATTGCACTAATGCCAGTTCAAGCTTTAATACAGTATTAATGAAATGTGTGTTGTATCAACCACGCTCAACATGTGTAACTGCAATTTCAACTTTAGCATGCAAAATGTTTTTAAAATTTAGTTGTGTGGACATGTTCAGCGGAAATCAGTAACATACAAACCAAAAACTTTTTGAATGAATTCCGTTTGTTTCTGTAATGATAACTTAAGTGACTGCAAACTGTCTGGTGAAAAAGAATCTCAAGGCAACAAAAGGTAATAAATCAAAACGCCACAATACCTGAAAAGTAGTGAAGCCCCGGATATCACTGTAGATGTATATCACAAACTCTCAGCATTTACAATAAATAGTCCACATTTACATTCAAGCTTATCCTCTCTGTGTACACTTAAATACATTATGGACATGGATCGTCCATGTCACTTATCTTTCTCAGAAATTTCACATATTTATCCATTAACCCACATTCATTCATTCACAAAGTAATAAAGTTTACACCCAAGTCAAACTCAATTCTCTTTACTAAACAGGTTGAGGCTTCGGAAGCTTCATTTTACCTGCCTGCGCAGCTTCTATGTCTCTTGTGAGTAACGGCAAGTAAAGCAATACAAGGATCAGACCCTTAACCTTGAAGGAAAAATCCACCCGGAAACACTTTAACACTGTTCAAAATTAAATGCATATTGGCGATGTACCTTGCATTTCTGGGTCCATTTAGTTGCTCATGGTGTATTTTTCTTATTCTGTGTATAATAGGCCAAACATCACTTTGAAATATCTCCATCGCAGCTACAATGGTGTAAAACAGTAGAAGAAGTTCAAGGGCTTTGTTCTAGAGTTGCCATCTTGTACCAGCATTCAACAATCAAACAAGGAGAATTCATCAATGAAATGCTGCTCGCTTAAAATCCCTGTGCCACATGTAGGAAGTCACTAACTAGAGTAAAAGTAGACTACGTAGCGTGAAGGTGGAAACACCAAAACAAGAACTTCCAACACTTGATCACAAAATAATCCCTGGAATGCAATGACCACCACCATTTGGTGATATCAAACAGCATAAGCGGAGGGGGGATTTTTCCTTTTAAACCGCATGGCCTATCAGCTTGGACAGTCCAGCTCCTCAGTGCCTAGAAACTCTCCTAACATGTGGTCATGTTGACCACACACAGGCTCTAAATATGGATGTCTCTCCTTGCAGTGCATTTGCCTCGACCTTTCCAGGTTTCTTTTCTCAAACTCCTCTGGCGTCATATGAGGGGCTTGGATGGAAGCACTCTGAGCCATGGGAGACAGAGGCACCGGGACAAAGCTGTGGTAAACAACCAGAGGTGGGGTCAAAACCTCCAAGGGGGATGCCTGAGGAACGGCACCCTCTGGCGGCTGGACTGGCAACTGCACATAACTCCCTGTTTCAGGATCAAAGAAAGTTTTTGTCTTGACTTGTATGGGCATATCTACAAAGAAGTACTGCCCAGAGTCTGGATCCTGCAGGAGCTTTCGTTGGGTCATGGGAAAGGACTGTGTAACAATGGCATGCTCAATACTGGACTGGCGAGAAAGCTGGCTGGTTTGGCTTGACTGGCGGGATAGGGTTGATGGGTGAGGTACTTCAGAGCTGTACGCATCAATACTGTGACTCCTTCTCAATGGGTTGTCTCTGCTCGCCTTGTCTCTGGCTCGGCCTCTCTGCTGGAGCTCGTCCATGATGGACTTCTCAATGCGCTGTGTCCTTGGATCAAGTTTCTCATTGACCAACGTATCGGCGCTGAGCCTGCGCTCCACTTTATCTCCTAAGTACCTATCAATGCTTTGTGATCGGTGGATCGGCCTGTCCGATGTGGGTCTCTCGCCGACGTGAGCTTTGTACACTGGCACATTACTGATGACCCTATCACTACTGTAGTGTCTTTGCTGTGGCTTATCTCGAACATGTCTGTTGCTGCTGCGGCCTTGCCTTTCTGTTGCAACACTGGGTAGTGCCTCATTGTTCGGTTTATTGCTTTCCACTGAATCATGGCTCTGTCTCCGAGTCTTGTGGCTCATGTCTGTTCTGTCCTGGAGGTGGTTTTCACTGTTGTGGCCTCTTATTTCATGGAGTAGTTGCTCAATCCGATCATCACTGTTTTTGCCATGGTGACTTTCACTGTGACGATGACCATCTTCAATCTTTTCTCTGTGTTTTTTCTCGTTGCTCTTGCTGTTTCTACTGCTGCTGCTTCTGTGCTCAGCTTTGTCACTCTTGTGTCTATCCACTCTGTGTTTGCTGCTGCTTTGAGACGACTTGTGGGGGGACTTCTGGGCCTCCTCTTTCTTCATCCTCCTATTTGCCAGCTTAATGGCTTTGAGGACAGCCTTTTCAGATTTGGGTAAGACAGCCGGTGGTTTGGGCAGTCCTGTTTGGCTTTCATTACCACTACAGGTGGACCCCGAATGTTCACTGGGAACCTTTGACACTTCATGCTCAAGCAGCATTCCAGCATTTATTCCCATCTCATCAGCTGTGTCAGCTGTGCTTGTTGTTAAGCTCTCCATGCCTTCAGATGACGGACTCAACCCAGACAATCTGTCTTCCTCCTGCGGAACAGTAAGGAACCCTCCAACTTGTGGTTTCTTTGGGTTTTCACTTGGCAGATTTGAAGTAGACAGCAGCAGCAGGGTAGGTGAACTGTTTGATGAAATCTCTTTAGGTTTGAAGATTTCATCTTGGATTGGTGTGCTACCACTGGTGGCAGGTTCATTAGTCGGAAGGAGCTCTGCATTCTCCTTTCCTTCTTCTAACTCCTTCAGTCCCCTCTCTGAAGCACTCACACCCCCTCTTGGTGACCAAGGTTGTACGGTCTTCTTCAACTTATTACTGAAAGTGTTGTCTTTGACCTTAAATAGGGCAGGGATCCCCATAGTTTGTGAGAACATGTTAGAGGGTGACATTGGTGTCTGATTATGTTCATCATAAGTTAAGCTTTGATCTGTGGTGCTATTTTCTCTTTCTTTGCTGTCCTTGTACGGTACTTCTGTTTCTTTTTGAGGAGATTTTACCAGTCGCTTTACAACCTCCGGCTCACTTTCATGATCACTTAAAGAATAATATTCCACTTCTGTCCTGTCCAAATCCTCTTTTGTGTTTTGTGAAATATTCCATGTCACCTCATCAGTCTCCTCCACCTCTCCAATCAGGTTCTCCAGAGAGTGGTAAACATTTGACTCTGTCTCAGTATTTCTGTGCAGTGCACTCTCTACAGAGAAGTATGATGATTTTGAGGACAGGCTGGCTTGATCAGGTGGGCTCTGATTGATGCTTATACCATTTACCAATAGTAAGGGTGATATTATATGCCTGGGGATTTCACTGAGAGCCTCCGCATCCACATTTATTTCCTCACCAGTTACATTTTCATCTGGTGTGTTTAAATGGTCTGGTTTTAAAGGAGCCTTCCGCTTCACCTTGTTTGTTTCCTGTGCCCTGGAATTGCTGTTTTCAAACGTGACTTCCCTTGTGGGGCTGATATCTGCTTTCAAGTTATTTGCCTTATTTTCATTTCCTCTAAACTCTGGTGATAAACACAATGTACTTTCAGATTGTGGGGATTTTAAAGGTGAAATGGACTTACATTTTACTGTATCAGTTACAGTAATGGATTTTGAATTTGCTTTTTGTACCACATCGCACCTCTCTTTATCAGAACTGGTTTGATCAGGCATGGCTTCTATTATGGACAGGTCACTATATGCTTCTTGCTTTTCTGAGCCTGTACGACTCATTTCTTTTAAGTGTACCTCACCATTTTCAAAATGTCCAGCTTTGTTAAAGATATCCTCCTTTACTACATCTTTCAAACTATCTGTCTCTTTAGTAACACTTCCATCTCCTATAGTCCCTCCCTTTTTGCTCCTAGGAGGAACAGGAGGAGCATCTCCCGTCTTGCCTTCATTTTGGTTAATCAGATTTTCTCTGCTCTCTTCAGATATATGTCTCACCATAGGTCTCAAATTCACCGCTTCTGGTCCATAGCTAGGTTTATCAGTTAGTTTATCATTAACATGTTTAGCTTTAGTTTTCAGGAGCACGTTTAGCTCATTGCCAATCTTGTCCATGCCGGGTAGCACTGTCCTTTCACCTGATCTGTATTTCTCGCTAAGTCTAGGTTCAGTTTGCGACAGAATCTCTCTCAAGTGATTGTGGTCTCTCAGATCACCTAACCTCTCTTTTAAATCTTTCTCTTTTAGTGTATTAGTGCCGCCATTTTGTTTTTCCTTGGCCTCTGTCATAGAATCTTTCATAGCTTTTTTACGTTGCTGTACCCTTACATAACTTTCATCACTAGCATTCTCATCAAATATTGGATTTGCATCATCCTCTGTGAATTTATTCTTTCTCATCTGCCTTTCTGAGATGATCTCTTCAAGTGCCATTTTGGCTTTGTCATAATTGTCATTTATAAGCGCTTTGTTTACTATGACATTACTGTCAATTTTTGTGAAAGCCTCCTGCTTGCTCTTCTCCTTCTCTTTATTAGCAAATAGTTCTCTCTTAGCCCATGTGTTCCCTCGCATAGACAGCATTCCCTTCTTAATATTCCTTAGCTCCCTCGAGATCAAATCATTCTTAGCCCTCGTCTCCTCATCTATGTCCAAAACACCTAATTTGTTCTTCGAGTTCTCAGGAATACAATCGCCAAGTCTTGCTCTCTCTAGCTCTTTCAAAGCATGCAAATCATTAATTATGTGCTCACTGTCTCTCATTTCTCTGAGTGACTTCACCTCCTCATCGGCCTCCATTCTTGGGTTCACTTTCAGATCGCCTTCCTCAAACTCCTCTCCATGTTCATCGCCTGTCTCTACATATCTCTGACATTTTATATAATTATTCTGTCTGGCTGAGAATATGTGTTTGAGTTTACCCTGTTTCTGGACAGATTCATTTTCTTTTGGTGGCTCTAGTTTTACATCCCCTGAATCACCATTAGTGACTTTGTCAACATTATGTGTTTGCTGCTTGTCAAGAGAGTGTGGAACATCAGATTTAGCAAAGCTTCTCTTGGGAACTGGTGGGGGCTCTTTTTTAACATTGTCTTTTTTGCCAACCGGTGTTGCACTGGTTGTTTCATTTCTACTTTGAGATGAAACATTGTAAATCTTCTTATCTATTTCTTTGTCTTTCAGTTCTTCTATGTCTGAAATGGGCTTATTGATGCTATCTGACTGAGCTGAAGATAGAGCTTTATTTTTGGCTGCTGTAATTGCTTCCCTTGCTGCTCTGATCACATTCAGTGTACTTATGGGTTGGCCACTAGTATCTTTTCCCTTAGAACTAACAGGCTGTGCTCCAAAGTCTTTTTCTTTTATGTCTTTCGTAGGTCGTTTTGCTTTGTCTGTTACATTTGGTGGTCTTTTCCCTACTGGCACATGTGATGAAGACCCCTCTTTCTCAAGTGCACGGGGTGAATGATCTTTGTTGACATTTAAAGTATTTGGTGAAAGCCCTGTGGTTGTTGGCAGTGCTTTTGGAGAGAGTTCTTTGTTTAGTATGAGCGGTGAAACTTTATTTGTCTCAGTTGGTTGGTCTGTGTGTATAGGAGCACCGGTGCTCACAGGATATTTCATATCACTGTCAACAGGGCTGGCTTTCTTGTACAAATTTAGAGAGGGGTAGTTTTGCTTTTTAGCTGTTTGACTCTTGGTCTTTTTTAAGTGTACAAAAGGGGAGACCTCCTCACCAAGACCACTGTTACCTGTAGCCTCCCTTTTGGTTTGCAGTAGATTTGATAACAAATAATCATCTGAAAGAGGTCTGTCAGTATCATGCTTAGTAAGACCAACTGTTGGGGTGCTGTTAGATTCCAAAACAGGACTGCAAACTGTCTGTCCATCTTTTAAAATGGCAGGAGTGTTGAAGCCAGACTCATTGCCCTCAGAGCCAGCTTGTGGATATTTCAGATAATCTGATTGTGGAGAAAGGGTGCCACCCTCAGGAGCTTCTGAAGTTTTGAATTTAGGTGGACTGTAACGGCTTTTCACCCTTTTCCTGTTGTCTTTGAGGTTGAAGAGGATGCTAGAGGCAAGTGATTTGTAGCTGTCCCGCTTGACTGGAGGTTCAGGGGTCAGTTTGGCTTCAGAGTGTGGCCTTAGTGAAAGGTCAAGGGCAGAGGGCGAGAGGACGGCCTGGAGAATTTCGGATGTTTCTGTCGGCTGTCTAGAGGGAATGAGGGGAGTCATCAGGTGGCAGATGCTGAATGGAGTAGACGCCAAAGAGCTGATTTCCTCAACTGCTTTCACCTCCACAGATCTGGCTTCTTTTTTGCCCAACAAAAGACTTTCATCCACTGCCTTTGAACTTGTAACCCGAGGACGAATCCCAGGCTGATTGACTGGAATCACACTTTTTGCCCTGGACCTGTTGCGCCGCCAGGGGGCAGCCCTCCCGTCCCCTCCATCTGATGAGCACCTCTTCTCAGCAGGAGTAACTGAGGGCTTTGGCAGGACCTTCGGCGGAGGAGGGGGAGGGATAGTTTTAGGAGCAGTGGGAGGAGGGGGCTCCACTGCAGCTTTCTGGCACAACTGCAGCTCCTCTATATGCAGAGTCTCTTTTTTGTGTGCCTCTGTCAGCTCCTTGTAAAAAGACATGTCATACCATTTAGGGATATTATCTGTGGTAAGAACTGTGTCCTCTTGGCCAAAAGGGAACTGGTTAAAATCTCTCCATGTTTGGAAAGGGCTAAACTCACTGTGGAGGAAAAAGTTTTTGATGTTTAGTTTCCTTAGTTTGACAGTGGATTTCCCATTTTTAATCTTTGAGGACTTCCCTGAGGGAAGGGCAACATCTTTGCGTGTTTTGTTTGATGAACCATCACTGGACTTATGTCGATGATGGTTGTTGTAATGTCCATCTGTGAGATTGGTGTTATAATCCGAGGAGAATTCCGATAGCTCTCTTTGGATGCTGCGTAGTGCGGACTTATCCCATGATTCCCCCTTAGAGTCTGTCATACATCCATTTGTGATTAACATGCCCTCGCAGCTTTCCTCTGTGGCACTTAATGCCTTGAGGAAAGATGACATCTGGGATATGTTCTTCTGTTGCTGCTGTTTCCACGGCTGGGCATAATTTTTGTCATTTTTGTTTTGCCCTTGCTTTTTAGATTCCTTATGATGAGTCTTTTTAAGAGGCTCCCCCACCAAAGGTTTGTGGCAGCTGAAAGGTGAGTATCCATACAAGAACTCATCATTGTAAACTGCGTCATCTCCAACGCAGAGACTTCGGAAGGCTCGATCTGTGAGAGTGCTGACCTCGCGATCAGTTTCGTCCATTAACAAGTCAGCGAAGCCGTTGGGGAAGCGATGGTGGAGCATGCTCCCCACCCGATGGCTCATGTGTCGCTTTTCCACACAGTTCATGATGTCAACAACTTTCTTTCTGTCTCGTGCATCACCTGTCTTGCCTCCTCTACAGCTGCTGCAGCCCCACAGATCCTTTGGCTTTCTTCCAGCTCAGGTTGACATTAGGTAAGTGGTGGGATATGTAAACTTCCTGAAAGAAAAGACAATGAAATCCGTGTCAGTGTTTAAAAGTTATGGTTTTAGACTAATCATACTTACTCACACAGTGTAAACAGTTATCATTTCAGTGTTTCTGCAGTGAATCAATCTCATAAAAAGGTTTGATTATTACAATTACTATAAAAGGTTTTGAACTCCGTAGCTGCACTGATGACCTTTATGTACATAACATGTTCAAACTTCAGCCATGCTGTCACTATGCAGGCAACAGACAAACACTTCATACCATGCACTTGGCTATTTTAAGCACTGTATGGTGCCTTAAGGTGTGAGTACTAAGCACATTGATGGTGGCTATGAGAACAGCTCCTAGCCCGTTTATTGGAACATTATTAGAAAAGATTAACTAACTAAATTTCTATTGTTCACGTGTGTGCATGTCATGACGCACTCTTCACATTGATCGCTTTGAAATTCAATCGTATCTTTTTTTAAATATATTGAATTAATTGGATTAATGTATAGGTATATGGGCAATTCTTCTGCAGTGCTCTAGAACAATATTCACGCAAGCAGGTTTACACCACAGAATGCAGGAAATGAAAGTAAATCATCACATCAGTCACAGAGCGCCTCAGCAGCAGCTGCTCTACTGTAGCTTACTTTAGCTATCTGGGTGAGATCTTAGAATAGCTCATTAACCCATTTATATGTCCTGACCTGAGAGCATAGCCACTGGCGTATAACTCAGTTCTATCCTGAAACCATGACTCTCCTTATAAGCAGATGAGAATTGAGACATATTATAAACACAGATACTCAATATTGTGTTTGATTGTATCTGTACATCAATAAAGCCATCTGTAACGCAATCTCAGCTGTCAAAAGTTACACATGTTCCCAATCATGGATGATTTGAAGGAAGGTAGGTACGTTTACAAGAGCTAATAAGACAAATTAATTTTTATGATTGTTGTTATTAGTGTTAATAAAACCTAGTAGCGACCCAAGTAAAATTGCTAGAGCTAAGTGACTTTACTGTATTTTGAGTCTGACTTACAGAATGTTTGGCTTTAGTGGACACTTTGGTCGCCAACAGTCTTCCAGCTCTCATAACCAGAGATCAGTTAGCAACCACGGTACTTTCCCAGCATCTGCTTGTGTATTTATACCAAAGGAATGAGGTAGCCCAGTTAACTATATAAACTGTATACTGTATAAAGGTGTAACCATTGGAATATCATTTTCCTCACAGATACTGTAAATATTAGTGTAAATGACTGAATGTGCATTAATATTATAGCAATAAAATGCTGACATGCTGGGGGGCTCTTGTGCTATTGGTCTTTTTGGACATCAATGTTTAGCCCTAATCTTAAATTTTAAGTAGAATATATTAAATTCTGTTGACCCTCAGTACTTTTAATGTCTTTGTAAACATCCATATAATCACACTGCTCCCTTACCTTGCTGATGGGTCTTTCATGCTGAGTGTAACCGGCAACCAATCTAGACTGTGGTATCAAACACAAATCCTCAATGTCATCCAAGAATTCAGTGCTGCATCAGTTGCTGATAATAAATTCTAGTTAGCGGTTGTCATTCATGGTAAAGAAATGTTTTCTCTTTAAGTTGAAGAACCAAAGAAAACTCACCAAGGTGAGTCAAGCCCTCGGATCCATGTTCAAATGCATTGGTGTGGCCAGGGTCCTGGTAGCGAGCTCAGAAGATACCAAAATAGATGCACAAGTCGTTGTGGCCAAACTGAGCAGCAACACAGGCCGCAGCAAGCTCGCTCACATTGGAATAACCAGTGGGTGTCGAGTGGCAGGGCAAGACAGGCCAGCAGGATGAAATGGACACTATCATTGGTTATTTTTGTAACTAAGCAGTGAGGCCTGATAGGCTCTCACATGGACCCTCTCTTTACTGTTAGGCACCTCTTTGAAAAGATGACAGGGCCTTCATGTCAATGAGGAAGAGGCATCAATCATTTGAGTCTTGGTGGAGACAGAGGGATATGGTTTACTTACCTGGTTGCCTACACCATTGGCTAATACTTAGCTTGTGACTTATTCTGCCTCTGTCACCCAGGTAAATAAGCTTTCTGATATAGCACATTGCATCACACAACTCAAAATTAGTGTGGGAGTCCCTTAAGTGGAGCCTGGCAGCTGGAGGCAGACGTCTGCTGGCTGACATGCCTATAGCAGGGTTGGGCTAATTCTTGTTGTTCAAGCTCTGTTTACAAGGCTGTGTTGTGGAAATGAACGTGTGTGACTGGGTAGTCTAGTTTTAGGAGCAATGCAGCTGTTGTTGCTGTGAGATTAAGCTGAAATCAAGAGGACATTTTGTTGACGTGTTGACTCTTTGTAAGTCTGTTGAAGTCAATGGACGAGGTCATATGTGAAGGTTGACCCTGTACATTCCCAAAGTGGAGTGTTTAAGGAATACTGTGTGGCTCAAGTTAGTTTTTACCATCATCTGTTGCATCTGTTTTATTAGAGTATAACCCAGAAAAAAAGAGTTTCAAAAGCATGAAATCACATTTTCTGTTGAGCCTTCCTTGGCCCCGACATCCACATGACTCCATATTTAAGCCAGTCTATTTTGGTCATGTTGTATTTCATAAGGTAACAGCCTGTCTCTCTGTCGACTACACCTTCCACACTTCAGTTAAACAGTCAAATGCTAACTTTGCACACGTTACTTGACTAGCTATAAGCAGTAACACATGCTGTTTTCTGCAAAGATTCTGTGGAGTGAGGACCCCCTGTACAAGGATGAATTTCTGACAAGTCCGAAAACTTGGTCAGTCGTTATCAGGTTCTCGCACTGCCCTTTTTTCTCACTGTGCCTGTGTGATGTGGCATGGTTGATGAAAGTGACATGGCAGCATGTTTCTGCCTTGCTAGCATTGGTATTGGTAGCAAACAAACTTGCCTTTGAAAGCTCTGCCTCGGAGCTTTCAAAGGCAAGTTTGTGTATATGCCGGCAGCACTCATGCAGCCCCAGACCATGACACACCCACCACCATGCTTGACTGTAGGCAAGACACACTTGTCTTTGTACTCATCGCCTGGTTGCCGCCACACACGTTTGAAACCATGTAAACCAAATGAGTTTATCTTGGTCTCATCAGACCACAGGACATGGTTCCAGTAATCCATGTCCGTGGTCTGCTTGTCTTCAGCAAACTGTTTGCGGGCTTTCTTGTGCATCATCTTTAGAAGAAGCTTCCTTCTAGGACGACAGCCATAAAGACCAATTTGATGCAGTGTGCGGCGTATGGTCTGAGCCCTGACAAGCTGACCCCCCCACCCCTTCAAACTCTGCAGCAATGCTGGCAGCACTCATACGTCTATTTCCCAAAGACAACCTCTGGATATGACGCTGAGCACGTACACTCAACTTCTTTGGTCGACCATGGCGAGGCCTGTTCTGAGTGGAACCTGTCGTGTTGAACCGCTGTATGGTCTTGGCCACCGTGCTGCAGCTCAGTTTCAGGGTCTTGGCAATCTTCTTATATGGCTAATTGGACATTTTCTCTTAGGGGTGGAATCACTTTTGATATTAATGGCTGTGTGATGTGTTATTTTGAGGTGACAGAACACTGTTATACAAGCTGTACACTCACTACTTTACATTGTAGCAAAGTGTCATTTCTTCAGTGTTGTCACATGAACAGATATAATCAAATATTTACAAAAATGTGAGGGGTGCACTCTTTTTTTTATACTGTAAATCGTGAACTTTGATTTTACATTAACAATGTACTCGTACAGTTGGAGGTGAATTTAAACAACATTTCTAAAATCATATAGTGTATGCCTAGCTTTAGGCAAGCCTATGTGTGATCTGGGATAGAGCAGGACGAAGTCTACAAACCAACACACATGCTTGCCACCAGCTCGACAGAGTGAAGTTGTGTAGCTATATTTTGGCAGCTGTTAAGAAAATACTGAGCATACCGATGTACAGCAGACTAGCCCTCATGCTAATGTTGATAGCTAACAGTTTGGTGATTATAAAATACATGCACAGGAATATACAGTGAGTAGATGAACTCCAGTCAGCCAGAGCCAGGATTCAGTCTTTGTCCCATTATGACTGACACCCACATGTGTTCTGTTTGGCTGTGAAACACAGGGAGCTAGCAAGTAGCCTGTCTCATGCTCCTTCATGCCCTCTGGGACCTGGGACAGATAGTCAGAGGGGGTAACTTGCTTTTCGGGACTGACAGGCTTGTAAACTCAGGTATGGTAACTCTAGGACAGCTGAGGCAGCCATACAGTAGAAGATACGAAGATCCAGTGGCAGAGAAACATTGTAACTCACCACACACATTTTGTTTCTATAAAAATGTCAGTGCATCCTGATTAGTGAGCAGTCTAGTCAATCTAAGATAAGATAAAATAAGAAAACCTTTATTTGTCCCACAGTGGGGAAATTGCAGTTTGCAACAGCAAAGACAAGAGCAGACATAGATAAGTGTACAAGTAGCATAAACAAGTGTCAAACAAAGAAGTACCGTTCTTACAGTAAATAAAAACAAAGTTACTGTACATTAAATAAGACTAGAATAGACTATGCCTTATACAGTACAGTCTCCTGCGGCATAAATAAATACTGGTAATATAAAAGTATAGTAGAAGGGTAATGCACATAAGTCAGATATAGCAAACTGTATTATACAATAATTGCACATGAATTAGTAAAATTGCACAAATGAAAATTATGCACAGATGTAATAATGGTACATGGGATATATTGCACAGAGTCAACAGTGTTCACTGTACAGTCTGACGGCCGCTGGAAGGAAACATCTGCGGTATCTCTCCTTCACACAGTGGGGATGGAGCAGCCTGTCACTGAAACTGCTCTCCAGGGCTGTAGTGCAGGGGGTGTGACTCATGGTCCAGCATAGCTGTCAGTTTAGCCAGGACCCTTCTGTCTCCCACCTCCCTCACTGAGTCCAGAGGACAGCCCAGGACAGAGCTGGATTTCTTGATCACCATGTCCAACTTTTTTCTGTCCCTCTCAGTGATGCTGCTGCTCCAGCAGACCACAGCGGATGGCTGACGCCACCACAGAGTCATAGAAAGTCTTTAGGAGGGGCCCTGTCACTCCAGCCGTCCAGGAAAATTGACCACCATCTCCTTGGTCTTCCCCGCGTTGATCAGGAGGTGATTTCGCTGACACAAGTCCACAAAATTCTGTGTCAGTCCTCTGTACTCTGCGTCGTCATCATCAATGATGAGGCCGATAATGGCAGAGTCGTCAGAGAACTTCTGCAGAACACAGCTGTCCGTGTTGTGTCTGAAGTCTGCCGTGTAGAGGGTGAAGAGGAAGGGGGCCAGGACAGTCCCCTGGGGGGCACCCGTACTACACATGAGACGGTCAGACACACCGTCACGTCCTCTCCAGGTGTTGCAGTACCAGTCTCCCCAGCGTCTTTATCAGGTGTGATGTAAGAGCCACCGGCCTGTAGCTGTTGGGGTCTTTAGGGTGCGGTGTTTTTGGCACCGGTACCACACAGGAGGTCTTCCACAGCTGTGGTACCACTCCCAGCTTCAGGCTCAGGTTGAAGATCCTCTCCATAACGCCACACAGCTGGTCTGCGCAGGACTTCAGGAGCCTGGAGCTAATGCCATCTGGACCTGCTGCTTTTCTCGCCTTGATCTTCCTTAGCGCCTGTCTCACCTGTGCTGCTGTGAAGGACAGGGGTGGGCAGGGGGGCTGAAGAAGTCCGTCTGGGGATGGGGTGGGTGAGAGGTGAGGTGAGCTGGAGGTGTGAAAGGCTGAGGAAGTGCATTGTCCCGGTGGTGTGGAGGTGAGGTGCAGCTGCGTGGGGGGAGGGGTGGCTGATTGATCAAACCTGTTGAAGTGATGGTTCAAATCATTCAGCCACTTAAGGTCCCCCTCGGCCTGTGTGGGGGGTGCTTCAAATCTGAGATGGTCTTCAAGCTGCTCCACACCCCCCTAATGTCTCTCTGTTCCTGTCTGTTTAGCTTCCTCTTGAAGCGGGCCTTCCCCTCTCTGATCTTCCTCCTCAGCCTCTTCTGTACAGCCTCTCCTCTTCTCCTTTAGGAGAGCTTTGATGTCAGGGGTAATCCACGGCTTGTTGTTTGAGAAGCACCGTACCGTCCTTGTGGGAACAGTGTTCTCGTAGCAGAAGTTAATATAGTCCGTGATGCAGTCTTTAAGGACGTTGATGTCCTCCCTGTGTGGGTCACAGAGCTCTGACCACATAGTGGTTTCAGAACAGTGTTTGAGAGCCTCCTCACTCTCTGCAGTCCAGCTCTTCAATGTTCGTGGCACCACAGGCTCCCTGTGTACAATAGGCATATACACAGGCTGAGATGAACCATGTTGTGATCAGCTTTCTCTATGGGGGGGAGGGGGGTGACAGTGTATGCCTCCTTGATGTTGGCAAAAAACAAGTCCAATGTTTTATTGTCTTTGGTGGGGCAGGTGACATACCCTGGGTGTATGTGGGCAGCACAGATAAGGGAGAAGCATGGTTAAAATCTCCAGAGATCAGGAAGAGGGCCTGTGGGTGCCGTGTCTGGAGCCTGCTGGTGACTGAGTGCAGGACGTCCATTGCTGTCTCCGCATGCGCAGGGGGAGGCACGTACACTGCTATCACAATAACATGTGAAAAATCCGTGGCAGATAATATGGCTGCATGCTAACAGCAAACAGTTCAATGTCCTGACTACAGAGTCGCTCCTTAATTGTGCAATGTTCAGGTTTACACCATCTTTCATTCACATACACAGCCAGTTTATAAAGATATCCTCACAGATTAAATTTTCAGCAAGTACACATGTAAGATAAATGTGTTTTGATCTGTTTGGGGAAAAAAATTCTGTTTTCTCTCTGAAAAACTAAAGCCGGCATAGACTGCAGTCTGCAGCTCCAACATAACATAACTTAATCACACAGCCAGCCGTTATTTGCCTTGTGTGATGGTAGTGATGACAGGACTGCATTAACTGATATCCTCAAGGACTGATACGGCAGGCAGCTGACCAATCAGAGGATTAACACAATTAAAATGCAGTTACATCATCATCATCGCATAAGGAAGTTAAGATATTAAACATGATGGAAAAACAACTGCTAAACTCACAATCAACCTCATGGTGTGGCCAAGATATCTCACCAAGTCTGAACCAACTGGTTTGGATCCAGTCTAGTCTGAGTGCAGAGCCTGACCTATGATTATTTACTGGCTGTAATAGATATCAGGGCCATCGTGTTTGGCATGGCAACATCTTTCTGAGAAATCTTTCCACCCAAACAACAACATCAGTTACATGTAGCCACTCAATGCAGGCAGTGCATGCTAAAATTGATTTGTGTAGTGCTTTGATTAAAAATATAAATGTACAAGAGATTCAAACAAAAACAGACACACATCTTAAAAGTTACCACAACAGTTTGTGAAGTTCTTGGAACACATGTTCTAGTAAGTTTACAAGCTTTCATGAAGGGAAAATTGGGCAAACCACTGTTGTAATTACCAAACCACAGGGAACATTTATTTACCAGAAAAATATAATTGTCCAAAACTTAAATGAGAATTTCTCACCAATTTATAGTCAATGCTAAAAGTGAGTAGGCTATTGTGAAATGTACGGGGCCTTGCATTAAAGCCGCTTACAGGACATTCAAGAAAAGTCAGATAGATGCGTAATCTTAACATCAGCAAAGCTTTGAAACCCACAGGCTCAGGAAACTGCTCATCATTACAGCTGAGAAAAGACTCACAGCACGTAGGTAGTCAGTAAAGTTTCCATACCACGAGAGATGGGTGCATTTCAGGTTTGTGGGTATTTGTCAGCTGTGACCAGGGCTGTCCTCATCATCGGTGAGTACAATGGACATCTGTATGTTGTAGTAAATAGTAAACAATAGTTCTCAACCTTATACAGATGTGATAATGACACCTGCTGTGATGACGAATTGGATAAGGTGTGTACAGCATGCTGTGAAGTGTTATAAACAAGTGACCTGTAAGCTTTGTGATTATTTACAAAGATGATGGTAGACCTTCTTCTAAGACCTTAGAGGGAATCTTCACAGTTGTTAGTAATAAGGCAAACTGCCCAAAACTCTGAAACCATATAAAAATTGTTTAGTTAAGTATCAGAATCTCTAAATAAAAAAATACAATTGCACAGAAATGTATAATTTCTGTGAAAACAGAATATAAAGTAGGCTTACTACAAAACAGAAGTAAAAACAGCTAAAACAAGCTAGATAGCCAAGGCTAGTCTTAGCTAAAGAAAAAAAGTAAAATACTTTAAATTCCCCCCAGTTGTTGTCTTAAAAAATAGCATTTTCTTTAGTTCTCATGTCACACTCAGTAATAACTGGCTTGGATCCAGACCTGCCAGAGGAATGCAACTGGTGGTTTTAAAATGTAAGATAGCCACTTGCTGTGCATGTATGCTCTGTTTCAGCAACACCCTGCACCACTCTCAGTTACAGTCATAGCTCAACCGCCCACAGTGACATGCCACTTTCTTCTGGTGTCTGAACAAGAGCAGCTGAGCACTGAGTGAGTGGGTCAAGGGTAATTTGGCAGTAACTATATTTTCAAATACATGAACCATCTAAAAACCCTCCAGCCTGTCTGATTATAACCCCTTCTTTTTCAAAATGGCATTTCAAGGCTGTGAATCTAAATACATAAATGCCACACTTGCTCACATAAATTGTTTACACTTCTCAGTTGAGAGCTTAGCTTGAAATGTAACTTCTGACAAATATCTTTTTTAACATGCATTCGTGTTTGCCAGAGCCAAGTGTTTTAGACTGAATTAAACTGGGAACATTTTAAGACTTGTATTTTCATTGCCCTATGGACGGGTCTCTTCATGAGGCTGGTGGTAACAGTGATACAAATGATGCTCCTAAACTACCACAGTAAGACTCATATTGTAAAACCAACCCGATCTCATCTTGTGCTTTTAGGTCTTTGGATCATTGTCTACCGTGCCAACATTTAGTCCATATTCAAGACTCACGTATTCATTTTAATCAAAAATCTGGTATAGGGGTGATTTGTGTAGTTATTTCTATTTCTCTAAAGTAAGATCCCATTTTACATTAATTAACTAATTAGGTCATTTTTGATATACAGTATTTTGTCATTATTTGTATTTATGCTCTTGTGTCAATTTTCTTCCTTTGCTAGGAATATTCAAATAGAATATTAATATTTGTAAATTGAGTCCAAATTCATTTATCATTATTTAATTACCTCAGTGTGTTGAAAGCAAAGGTGTGCACTGATATAAGGCTCTATAAAATAGGACACACATGAGATATTAACTGGTTGTTATCTGAGGCAGGTTAACCTATCTGACCACTCTATAATCCTCCTCAGTGGTGACAACCTGAGGCTGGGAACAACAACAATAACAATGTCCTTGAGCAAGACATTTACTTTCATACTGCCCCATCAATGTTTAAAAAGCACTGCAGAATACTGCAGGTACATTAAAGCGCTTCGTGACCACTGAGTATCATGCAACTGCTTTTGCAGAATGCTGAAAGTCAGCTTGGTCTTATCTGATCACTGTGGTGTTGCGTCCTTCCTGTATTCATGACCTTAAAAAATAATTACCTGAAAACAATGTGTTTCAGAGTGTCTGCTGATGGGTGTGAGAGGAGATGGAGCAGCCTCTGAAGAAAAAGTAGGTGGGTCTACAGGTTACAACTGAACTTAAGCTACTTTTAAGGTATATTTTAGCTCAATTACGAGTCAATGAGTTTTGGCGATGTTGTAACACAGACACAATGACATGAATAGTTTAGCTCAACAATACTTAAAGTATAAAGTTGTTTTTTCATTGACATTTAATTACTTAACCCAAGTGTTATCTAGCCATTCAGACAGGTCTGGTTTTATGTACTACTGTTCTGAGGTCTCTTAATCAACTTGGTATCTGACTAATCCAAGGAATATTGATGTTGAGTAGATCAGTGGTTCCAACCTCTGGGGCAAGACCGCCACAGGGGGTTGCAAGATGTATTTAA